AAGTCCAGATTGTCACCTGTACTCCTGACTGATCAGCTATAAATCAGGGCTCCTGTGACTGACCCCCTTCTTGGTTTTGATAATTTGCTAGAATGGCTCACAGAATCCAGGAAAACACTTAAACTTTACCAGTTTACTGTATAATAAAGGATATGATAAAGGATACAGATGGACAGCCAGATGAAGAGACACATAGGGCAAAGTCTGGAAGAGTCCCGAATGCAGGAGCTTCTGTCCCCATGCAGTTGGGGTGCACCACCCTCCTGGCACATGGATATGTTCACAACCTGGAAGCTCTCTAAACTCCTTAATATTAGCATTTTTATGGAGGCTTCATTCACAAGGGCACAACTGATCATTAACTCAGTCTCTAGCCCCCTCCCCCTTCCTGGAGGATGAGGCTACAGCTGAAAGTTCCAAGCTTCTAATCATCTCTTGGTCTTTCTGACCGGCCACCATCCTGAAGCTATCCAGGAACCTATCAAGAGTCGCCCCATTAGAACAAAAAACACTCCTATCACCCAGGAAATTCCAAGGTATTTATAAGCTTTGCGTCAGGAACTAGGGTCAAAGACCAACTATTAGAACAAAAGATGCTCTTAGCACTCGCCTATCACTTAGGAAATAATAGGGGTTTTAGGAGCTCTGTGCCAGGAACCAGGGACAGAGACTATAATATGTATTTTCTATCATTTCACATGATGCTATTTCGTTCATCTTCCTTTTACGTCAATATGACACCAGTTTATCGTACCTTTATTGGACGAAGCAAACTGTCATTCCTTGATTTGTACTTTGGACCCACAGTGATGCAAATTCTGTCCACCACGAATTCCAAATTCTACATTTCAATATAGTTGTCAAAAGGTCAGCTCCTAGCAATAGCTGTTATGAGCAGCAAACACTGGCGTGGCCATTCCTGCACCTGCCTCTGAAGACTGCTGTCTGGGCTCCTTGGGATCTCTCCCTGAGTCTTTCCTCTCCTACAGCAGTGCCTCTGCCTCCTCCAGGTACGTGACACCTGCCATCAATGAGTAATCACACAGAAGTGAAGAGCTTTTCAGTTGCTACCCTACTTCAGGACAAAAATGATGAAACGCAGACTTCACTGCCTTTTAGGACACCACTGAACTAGACGGCAGTGCCAGTGCAGTGTGCTTGATGCTTCCATTTGAAGTGTTCTTGAAATGTCAAGCAAATCAACTGCAAGTTCTGCACATCAGTGCAGACCCCAGAGTCCAGGTTCATGAAGGAGAGAGGGGGCTGCTTACTTCTCTTCTGATATTTCTTTACCTCCACTCCAAGCCAAGGTCACAATAACCCAGTGCTTATTTATCAAGAGTACAGGACAGCTGCCAAGTGCCCAGGATCAAGGCAGACGGGCAGGCGCCTGACTGCAGACGGCTCAGACAGGTTGAGGTTTTAGCTCCCCAGGTGATTCTCACACAGAGACTTTTATTTCAAAACCAACTTTGGAATTAGCTTTTGCAGCAGATAAAGGAAAAGCTCTTTGGAATGAGAACTTATTAGGAAGTGAAGTTTCCATAAAGCTTTGTCCTTGCTTTTCTCTCCTTCTAGGTGTATGCCTAAACCCAGCGTAACCTACTCTGCCTCAGAATGGTCACACCTGCCCCAATAGTAACACCACAGAAAGACCCTAACTTTTGACAATGTGGGTAGTTTCATACAGCATAAAAACTACACCTGCATGCTAGATCAGTAACAAAGGGGACATTTCCTAAGTGCTTATAGCAAAATTAGACTAAAATACTAGCTAGAGACTTAGAAAACATTTCTGGTTGGCGACACACTAAATAGAATGCCACTTCTTAGTAAAAGCAAGGAATCAGCTTGAGGTTTTCTGAGAGAGACTGCATGGAAGATGATACAGCAGCCTTTCCATTCAGAGCCCATTCAGACTGCAGAATTCTAGGTGTAGTCAGACCCACGGAAGGTAGCAAATGTGACAGAACAAAGATCTAAGCTAGATGCAAGGGCCACTGATGGAAGCTGTGGAGCCATCTTTTCTCGAGGATAAGATAGATTAAGTTCACCTGGCTGAATGCTGTGGCCTTTCCATATACTGTGAGCTAGCCACTGCTGAACACACGGGAGCCACCCTCCCCTGAATAGAGAGATTCTGTTTTTCTCCATGGAGTGCTGGAGAATAAGCATTTACATCAGTACTCTGAATTCTCAAGAATTTGGAAACATGTTTATTAGTGACAATAAACAGGAGAAGAGCCTTGGAATTACTTTAGTTCAAGGAGAAACTTATTCCATAAAGGCCTGCTTTCCAGGGGTAATGTTTTGTTGGCTCGTGGAGAAGTAAAAGATTCCTGCTCTAACATAAGGCCTCTTCCTAAATATGGACTCTCACAGTCAATGGTTAAGAAAAGTATATCTTAAAAATATAATGAACAATAATAATGAGATGTTAAAAGGAAAAATTTTGCAAATGATCTGGGATGGGTTAGCTGCCCTCTGCTAACAGTCTTAATTTCTTTCTGCAGCCACTACCAACTTGTTAGCTGGCTAGTAAGATGGTGGGGGCATATACAGGTTTAGAACCTGATTTAGTTATGTATTTTTTTATGTATTCAACAGCTGACTTACTTCACTTGTTACCGTTTTTTTTTTTTTTTTTCTTTTTGCGGTATGTGGGCCTCTCACTGTTGTGGCCTCTCCCGTTGCGGAGCACAAACTCCGGATGTGCAGGCTCAACGGCCATGGCTCACGGGCCCAGACGCTCCGCGGCATGTGGGATCTTCCCGGACCGGGGCACGAACCCGTGTCCCCTGCATCGGCAGGCGGATTCTCAACCACTGCACCACCATGGAAGCCCCCACTTGTTACATTTTGATTAAAGTTAACATGCTCATGTGTGTTGCAGGAGGTGGGAAGTATGCTTCATAGGAGAAGACCATCTGAGAATAGACAGTGGTCATCAGGCTAGACCACAGAGGGAAATAATTCCCTTTTCAGTTTATGCACAGACAGAACAATGGACCATAAAGCAAAGACCTGATTCCAATGTCTGTTAGCTCGTCAACCTGAGCAAGTTCCTTATTCCAATCTGTAAAATGGGTAAAATGTGGATAATACTAATCCAACAAGCCCAAAAGTCTGAACAATAAGATGGAAATGTTTATGAAGGATTTCACAAACTTGAATATGTTGGGAAAAAAAAAAAGTAGTATAAAAGGAACAAGCCATAGACCTCAAATATAACATCCACTCAAACACCACCAGGAGAGACAAATCAAAATCTGTGATGATGTTAAGGAAGTTAACTTACAAAAGTACATTTTCCAGTCTGTATGAAAATGGTTTAATAATAGTGAAACTTAAAAAGTGGTAAAATTAACAATGTATTTTGGTTAAAGACTCTTTTTTCCAACCATGGCAAATAGTATGCAGACATTTATCAATGCAAAGCTTTTAGTCCCTCTATCATGTACTCTGAATCCTACTTACTATTCAACGTGAAACACGATACAGTCAGAGGTTTCTTTGGCAGACATAATCACATGCATCAATATGTCAAATTCAAAGCATTTTCTCCTTAAACTTACCTGACCGAAGGCATCTGATCAAAAGACAAAAATGAACAGTTTTAATAAGTAGTTCAGTTTATCAGTGTCTAGAAGGTAACAAAAGTACCAAGATCAAGCTTTTTGGAAGTTAAGTTAAAAGAGAAATAAATTTTACATTTGATTAAATCATCAAATATAATCACTTGGGTATACTTTTATTAGCAAAAAATAATAATACCAATGATAAAGAAAAGAGGAAAAAAGTAAATGTGCCTCAGACCAGAATACCATAACAAAAGATTTGTGGAAGCTGCATTTTATTTGAAAATCCACCCATTTTTGCTAACATACATTTTAATATTGTAAACAAAAATAGAATCTGCAGAGACAATGCAACAAGTATGCTTAACTCATGTACAGAATTGCTTTCCTACAACAAACTGTCCTTCTTAAGGCCCCTCTCAACCCAAATGTTAAGATGTATTTACACAAAGCACCGATCAACAGTGCAGCTTAATTCTTCGTTAACTAAACTCTTGGCTAGACATTAACTTTAAAGATACTATTTCCCCTTATTTAAAAGGTACATGATCATAACATGGCATGAGCCAAATAAAAGGTTCAAGGATTTTGTCCCCTCCCCTCCCCCCATAACACCTCCTAGAGTTTTACTGAAAAGAAGGAAAGTCTTGAAGTGAAAGCAATTCCTCACATTCATTTTGGAAAGGCCCTAATGTCAAATGGAAAATAATGACATGCCAAGCACAAAGCAGTAAAGTCCCTTCCCAATGCACTAATGCTGAATTTAAAATGTAGTGCTTTTCCCAGTTCTGTGAACTGTTCCCTTGCAAAATCCTAGGCACAGAATTGACTATAAGGATTAATGCATTTATAATGCTTCCCTAAATCCCACAGAAACTGAGAATTCTTAAGCGATTCAGACCTATGGACTTGCCTTAAAATATTTAGTGCTCTGTATGTCAGCTGAAAAGCATTCTGAATCAGATTCATTCTTATGGATAAAAATCAAACATACTGTGTACATCCATACTCATTTTCATAAGGAGGTTTGATACAATATTAATGTTACGTAAATTGATAATCATAAATAAATACAAATACTTAAGGAATGTCTACTGCAAACTGAATATATAATTTTTTAAAAAGAAAAGTTAATTTTAGTTACTGTTTCTGTATCTGTGAGGACTGGAGAAAAGAAAGATACTGCATAATTAAGAATTATGATTTGATCCCCCCAAAAGAGTCCTGTTGCATTACAGTAAAGGACACAGCTCTTCTCTCCAGGCAGCTTTTCCAAATACAAATTTCACTCTTT